CTGGGTGGCTCAGTTGTTAGGCATCTGCCTTTGGCTCGGGTCATGATCCCGGGGTCCTGGGATCGAGCCCCACGTCGGGATCCCCGCTCCGCGGGAAGCCCTGCTTCTCCCTCGCCCTCTGCTTGCCTCTCTGCCTGCTTGTGCTCTCCCTCTCTCTCTCTTTGTCAAATAAATAGAGAAAATCTTAAAAAAAAAAAAAGTTAGATGACACAACACAGAGTAACATGTCACAGAGTCACATGAATCTTGATTCAAATAAGCCAAAAGTGAAAGAACATTTATGGGGTGGGTGGAGGCCCTCGACTGTGGACTGGGTATCACGTGCTATTGAGAAATTGTTGGCTCTTTAGAGTGTGACAGTGTATTGTGGTTAGTAAAGAAAATGTGTTTAGGAGGAAATGTCAACATCTTTGGAATTTATTTTAAAATATTTTGGGGGCGCCTGGGTGGCTCAGTTGGTTAAGCGTCTGCCTTCAGCTCAGGTCATGATCCCAGGGTTCTGGGATGGAGTCCCATGTTGGACTGCTTGCTCAGCGGGGAGCTTGTTTGTCTTCTCCCTCTGCCTGCAGCTCCCCGGCTTGTGCTCTCTCGTTCTCTCTCTGCATCAAATAAGTAGATAAAATCTTTTAAAAATACATTTTTAAAAAAGAGATGAGGTAAAAATGACAAAATATTGTGTATTATTAAAATTTGAGATCTAGGGGCTTACTATTTTCTATACTTTCATGAATGTTTATAAATATTGCATAATAAAACATTAAAAAAAAAACAAGGAAAAAGGGGTGCCTGGGTGGCTCAGTCCATTAAGCGTCTGAGTCTTGATTTTAGGCTCTAGTCATGATCTCAGGGTTGTGGGATGGAGCTCCATGGTAGGCTCTGTGTTCAGCTCGGAGTCTGCTTGAGATTCTCTTCCTCGCCCTCTGCCCGCCCCCCACCCCCGCTCGTGGGTTCTCTTTCTCTCTCTCTAAAATAATAAATAAATCAATCTTTAAAATAAACAAACAAATAAAAAACAAGGAAAAAGGATAATCATTAAAAGGAGAATTATTTTCTGTATTTTCAAACTAGCAGAGAAAAAAGTTTGTAGTGAAAAATATAAGAAATTCCACCAATCCAACTAGAAAAAGAAAGGAAGAAACAAATTTTGAGAGAAACGAATGAAGAAAACAGAAAACACAAGTATTTTGGTAAAAACACTTCCAAACCTATTTAGACCACAAAACATGTAAATGGTTAATTAAGCCCACCTATTATAATACAAAGATTATCATACTAGAACTTTTTAATCCAGCTATTTGCTTCTTATAAGAGAATCGATCTAAATGTACAGACACACAAAGTATGGAAGGAAACATAGAGAAAATGGTGCAGTGATATTAATAACAAGATAGAATTTATGACAAAGGCATATTAACAACAATATTGAGAGGAACTCTTTTAAGATATTATAAGGAAAATTCCACCCCAAACAGAACATTCTCATCTGGGTTACATCTAACAACCTAGCTTCGAAGCATGTAAAAAAGTGACAAAAATATGGGAAGAAATGAAAGCTTTTTGACATCTTTCCGAAAGAGGTGAAAATAAGTGTACCAGGAAATACTAAGGATATGGAAAAATCAAACTAAAGCTATATGATTAAGCTTTAGTTGTATGTAACATATAAATTATATACATCAATACAATATAGAAGTTACATATATTATATATAAAGTTATAAAGTTCTATGTGTACAGCTTTGTATATAGATAGATCCTACATATCAAACATATAGGGGAAATACTTATATATGAAGCATTTGTAGAGTTGATATAGCTTGTAAAGAAATTCTATTTTGAAACATAGTTATCTTAGTGACTACTTTCTCTGAACATAATGATTTTAGGTGGATGAAGGGAATGGGTTGGGAAGAGATTATTTAAAGGGGATAAATACATCAAATTAACCGTTATCTCCATGATTATTGTACTTTACCCAACATGGGAGTTGATTAGTCCAAAGATATGACACATGGAAGGTGATCTAGTGTAGCTAAAGAATAAAACACTTATTTTTTTATAAGAAAAATATGCATGCAGTTGAGGGGTATTCACTGGTTAAATTGACCCAAACCAGAGGTTTGTGTGGTCAGCCCATGTGCCTTAGGCAAGCTTGGTGCTTTGTTCCCTGGGATTTCAATCCCTGTTTGAGGGGATGAGAATCTCCTATCCTGGTCTCAGAGGAGCAGTATCTCATCCCACGCTCTGAGAATATCTGACTCTTTTGCTAAGGGATTTAGTTATAAGTCCGATCATTTTCCACTTCTAAAATAAAAAGAACTGTGTCTTATGAAATATAGTAAATGCCCAACACGAGGAAACACCATACGTCCTAAACAGGACCCTGTTATCTACACGGGCAAGGTGTTCTTCTGTTTTGTGCCGAAAACCATACAACAATGATAATTTTTGGCCCTGTGAAACCTAGGGGATTCAACATTTGCTACTGGGATCCCAGAAAGCAAAAAGTAAAGATTGAGTGGTATCCCCTGGAGTTGTACCACATGAGACCCTGGAAGTAATTTTCAGCTCAGAGCAATAATAAAAGTAACAAAAGCATTAAATAATAATAATTAATATTTGATAAATATTATAGGCATAGGAATTATCAGCTTAGCCTGGCTCCTTGGGATCTGGCCTCCACACAGACGACAGACCCTCCCTCTTGTGCTGCTTCTCTTTCTGCTGCCTTGGGCAGATATGGGAACTGCCTGTCATTGTCACCAACGTTCTTCTCTCTGTTGCCTCTGTTCTTACAGGCATCGATCCACCTGTAAGATTAATTGGTCCACAAGTCAAGAACAAAGCTTGGCTGGTTGACAGCCTGTCAACAGAACCCTGTGCTGAAGGCTGTGGTGTTAAGGATGAGGGAAACTTCTTCCTGCTGTTTGTGTGCCTTTTAATCCCATAGGAGGTGGGGGGCAAGCAGGAAACCAGAGAGAAGCAGAAAGACAGAAAGCAAGTCACGTTCAGACAAGGGCCCACGTTGGTCCTGACACCAATGGTAGCAATATTAGTGTGAGGAATCTTTTCTTGAAGATTCCAGTAATTTGGAGTAATGTTGAGAAGTAGGGGACAATGGACAAAAATAACCATCCCTGAGCTTTAATCCCAAATGTTAGTATGTCCTTGTGAAAAGAATCAATGGGCAGAGTTGAGAGAGAATACACGAAAGGGTGTGTATTCTAAGAGGTGTGTAACACAAATAGCACATTTGGGAAAGTTTAAAGGAAATAGAACAATCTAATGGCTGGGAACAGCAAGTGCACAGGGGCAATTGCATCTTGTGCCAAGAAAACCAGCCAATTTGATGGATAATGACATTCTTGTTAAGAGCAGCTAATGAATCGCTAGACTTCAAGGTCTCCAGAAGCCACCCCACTGGTGTGACAGTTGCCAAGTGAATCCTCTGCACCTAAAACAGGACTCAACATAGAATTGCTACTCAAACGTTTTTTAATGAATCAATCTTGAAATCTGGAGGAGCAAACCCTTTCAGGACTTCCTGTATAATAATTAGTGACCACATTTCCTCTGGAGCTTTTTCTGGGTTTCGAGACCGGTCTTGGGATGGCAGCCTCGTGAAGCAGGCACAGATCACGGTGAAGAAGTCCCGGCTCTGGGAGCAGATGTAATTGTGTTTCTGCCCTGGTTTCCTAATCATTAACTCTGTGAACTTGGACTAGTTATTGAAATTCTGTGCTTTGCATTTCTCATTTGGAACAGTCAGGGTTAATATTGCTTCCACAGGATTGTTGTGAGTATAAACGAGACAGGACATGTAAGGTACTTGTCCCAAGCTCAGATGTTATTAAAAAATGACAGCCCTTATAAATCTCAAAGGGCCCCAGGCTGGAGACGATCTCAGTGACCATCTAATGCAGCTGCTCCCAGCTCTGACCCATCCTCGGAATGTTCGAGTCAGCTTTCCAGATGCAGGTGCATGCATGGGCGTCCCTTGCAGATTTTCTAAGTTATAAGTTCTGATGACCAGTTGGTTTGGGGGAACCGCTCATCTGATCCAGCCAGAAGTTTACAGATACAGAAACAGCACAACTTAGTGGCAAAACAGGTGTAAAATCTGGTTTGAATGAGACTGTTTCTGTGACGCCACAGCCCTCTGAGTGAGGGCTGGAAGCTCACGAAGGACGGAGTCAGTGCCTCCTACAGCTCATTGGAGACTGGTGGTTTCATGAAACTTTTGGGGAAAGACGTTGGTATAATTTCATTTCTTTTTTTATGATTTATTTACTTATTTGAGAGCGAGCGAGCGAGAGAGAGAACAAGCATGAGCGGGGGGAGGGCAGAGGGAAAGAATCTCAAGCAGACTCCCTGCTGAGCACAGAGCCCGATGCTGGGGCTCGATCTTATGACCCTGAGACCATGAGCTGAGCCCAAACCAAGAGTTGCACACTCAACTGACTAAGCCACCCAGGCTCCCGGGTATAATTTCATTTCTTGAACACCAAATAGATCAAACAAAAGTATGTATTTACTGGGGACAGTGGATGAAGGAGAGCCCTGAGGTCCAGACCAGCTCTGTCACTAAGCTCCTATGTGACCTCAGGCAAGTCAGGAAACTTCTCTGAGCATCAGTTCCAACATGTAAAAATAATGGTGATTTCTGACCTAATTACTTTAGGATATTTTAAATTTAAAGAGGACTCATACATGTGAACATATTTCCAAGGGTAGATTGCTAAAGAAGCAGAGTGGACTATTTCCACTCTGCATTTGTATGTCCCTCCCTTGGGTCTCAAATTCTCTCATGCCTGGTTGATCAGGGCACAGAGGCTGACTTGAGTTTGTGGGTTAAATAAGCTAAAGATGGAGCTTGTCTCTCTTTAGCATCAGGAAGTTGTTTATTCATGTGGGGGGCTGAGCAGCAGGGGGATTCAGGAACGGAGAGAGGATTGGGGGCAAGCTGCCAGTAGCAAATGGTCAGAACTACAATGTCGTCTTTCACGCCCCTTCCGTCCTGCTGTCTGGCCTCACCTGCGTGTGGGACGTGGGGCCGCAGGGGACCAGAACAGGAGCCCAGCTGGGGGGCGAGGAGGAAGCCAGCCTGAGCCGAGCGGCAGTAACTGCTTTGGCGACACAAACATGGCAGGGGCCTCGATGCAAACGGGCTGGGGCATTGCCGACGGCATCCCCCGGAATCACCAAGATGATCCGCACGTAGGACAGGGCGATGGCCAGGAAGGAGGCCAGGACCTCCGCTGCATGGATGGCGTCCACAGTGACCACCAGCGATGTGTCTGTGCAGGCCGAGCTCAGCACAGGTGTGAAGTCACAGAAGATCTGCCGGATCTGGATGGAGCCACAGAAAGGCAGGGTAGCAATCCATGTGATCTCAGCGAGCACAAGGAGGAAGCCACAGAGGCAGGATCTCCAGGAAAGACAGGACACTGATGAAGAAATACATGGGCGTGTGCAGGGTCACGTCCAGCTGGACGGCAAGGAATATCATCAGGTTCCCAGTTATGGTAAGTGTGTAGATGAGAAGCAGGGGATAGAAACAAGAGACCACCTTGATGCAGAGGTGGCAACACAGAGAAAAGGAACTCAGTCACCAGAGTCTGACTCCCACTGGTCACCATCTGCGTCATCTGCGAGGGGAAGGAAGGAGACAAACTCCTGGAATGGGGGTGGAGACCATCCACTGAAGACCACTCCACCCCTTCTGTGACCAGCTCCTTAAGCTGACTCTGGGACCCTAGTCAGGCCAGTTAGAAATATCTCGTAGCCCCACCTCCACGCCAGAAACACCTGGAATATTTGCTTCTGGACCCCTCAATGCATCTTTTGTAAAATCTTCAACTGACGCAAAGGAAACACAAAGCGACACACAAATTAATTCTCTGGAAATATTTTCTGGAGTCTCAGTCACTTCTTTAACTTCTTGGGTCTTCCCCTCACCCTCTGCCCTCGGCGTTTAGCTTTAAAATGTGTACTTTCCTTTTTTTTTTTTTTTAAGATTTTATTTACTTATGAGAGAGAGAGAGAGAGAGCACGCGTGCGAGAGAGCATGAGTGGGAGAGAGGCAGAGGGAGAAGGAGAAGTAGGCTCCCTGCTGAGCAGGCAGCCTGACACGGGACTCGATCCCAGGACCCTGAGATCATGATCTGAGCCGAAGGCAGACGCTTAACCGACTGAGCCACCCCGGCCCCCCCAAAATGTGTACTTCTCTTTCTGCTTTTCACTCCTGTTCTTCAGAGTTAGATGCTGTCGGGAGCCCTGGTCTCAATAATTCCTCATGTTGCTGTCCCATCTTCTCTGGCCCTGATCCCTAACCTGAGGCTGGCTGAAGGGTCGTCTTCACCTCTGCCTTGTTTCTGTTCGTGTCATGGTGACATCTGTTTCTTGCTAGATGCTAAGTGCCCAGATGTCAGGAAATATTCCTCCTCACATTCCTTCCCTTCTCCCCCCCACAGTGGTTCACACTGATAGCTGCTCAGGCCAAGAGTCTCTCTAGAACCAATTTGCACCTATTGGTCACTGAACTTTGGACAAGCATATAACTCCACCTCCCATATCCCACCCCTCCTGGGCTGCATCTAAAAGCCATTGGACAAAAAAATCACTTCTAACCTAACTATGGCTGTCTCAGGAAGGAAGTGTCACAAAACCCAGCTGCGACAGAAATCAGACCAGCATCTGCTTGTCAGGGAGAAGGGCACCTAGACTTTTTGTGAGGCTAATTAAAGTTCGTGATAGTAATGTACATTACCTCTCACCTTGACTATTTTAACATCTTCTTCTGGTTTCCTTACCTCCAACAAGTCATTCTGCAGATGAGTATGACTTTTACTGTCCCTGTTCTTTTCAAAACGATTCAAGGATAAGCCCCACGGATCTTAGCCTGAAACGCATCGTCTTCTCTGATCTGGTTCCAGTCAAATTTTAGAGCCAAATATTTTTCTACATACTCAACAGCTCAGCCAAATAGGATGATTTCCTGTGTTTCTATTTCTGCTTATGTCCTTCCCTCCTTTAGTTTTCTCTCTGTCTTCCTCTTGGAAGACGCTCTGATGTCATCCTGCGGCTCCCACTGGTCTGCACGGCCGGAAGTTAGCCCTCTCTCCCCTGAGCCCCAGGCGTGCTGGGGATTCTCTGCCTCCATGACTTCGAACACATGCTCCCTACACTCTAAATATTTGTGTATCAACGGTGTCCAGCCCCCCAAGTGGACCGAAAGCTCCATAGAGGAATCATAAGGGATCAATGAAGTAGTGTTAGTGAAGAGCTCCCCGGGGACGGTCATGATGCCAGACTTTACATATTTTATCTCATTTATTTCTACCTATGACAGAGAGATTATTATTATTGTTCTATAAGTGCAAAAACTGAGAACCAGAGGGGAGAAATAACTTGTTCAAATCCATATTTCTGGGATCCAAAACAACGGGAAGCCTGGTCTATAGGCTTTAAAATTCCACTATTCTTATTATTATTTATTTATTTAAATTCCACTATTATTTTTTGTACCAAGGTGAGACATTTAGGTCAAGAGTCACCAGTCATCCTGTCTGCTTCCTACTCTGAGCACCACTTTATCCTCAGGTGTGTCCCGGAGTGTGAAATGAGAGAGAAGAGGTGTTTTATGTTTGGTTTGTTTTTTTGTAGGTCACAAGCAGATTAAAATAAATGCATTGCGGATTAAGAAAATGAATTCCTACAAAACACTTCTTGCCTTAAGCCCCAAGCCTGGAGGAAGGCTTTGGAAGGGAGGAAACATCAGTGCTGGGCAGAAGGGCAGAGCCTGCACGGGGACAGGTGAGAGACGGGAGGGCTCTTGGGCCGAAGCAGCCATGTCTCTGTCCTTTCTCCACCTGAAGCACAGGCCACGGCCACGCTGAGTGGTCCTTATGGTCAACGTGGCTGGACAAAGCAGGAAGCGATGGAATTCTAAGAAAAGGCAAGCAAGTTCAGCACAGATTGGCTCATAAAAGGCAATAGAGTGTCTACTTTGCCCCCGGTGAGGCCCTTCTCACTGGGAAGACTGCATCATTGTTCATCATTCGCACATTTATTCAGTTAACATTTACATACTGATCGACCCTCTCTATTTGCCAATCACTATTATAGGTTCAAGGGCTACATGAAGGTGGATTAAACAGTATTCTTGCTCCTGAAACACATGAAGAACACTTTTAAGATTCCTAGAATGACAGATAATCAGCTGTGCCCAAGGAGCTCACCCGGCAAATATTTGTTGTACGGTTCAAAGAGACTCAAATTAGATTTTAGTCCTGGGGGGAAAAAGCAGTAAATTTCTCTGTGACTCCCCAGGACGCTGTAATTCTTTGGGCTTCAACAAAATTTTAGTGTTGGGAAGAACTTAGATGTTATCAGTATCTTCACCTGTTAGCTGCACTATGTTTGTTCTAATGGCTTTTCTAGATTTCATGTCTTATTATTTTAATTTTTTCACTCATGCAATCAAGTTCTAAAAATATGAAATGTTAGCCCCTGCTAACAAAGGAAGCTTTACCCGGAAAGTGAGGGCAAGTCTGGGTCCAGAGGAGTGAAGGGTACAAGGGAAGGAGAGGGTAGGGGGAGGTGAGGGAGCTGAGCAATTGGATGGTTTCCTGTCAACAGTCTTTCACACTTACCTTGTCTCAGACCACGGCGACATTCCTCAGAGTCTCCGCAGCTACCAGCCCCTCTGCCAGTTTGCTGGCAAGGATACTGATGTCTTAGAAGGCTCTTCAGGGAATTTCTAGAGGGGAAAAATCCTTTCCGGGGACTTTCTCCTTAGATGATGCAGGATCTCAAGGAAAGTGGTGCATTCTGCTCTCCTCTGAGGGATAAATTAAGGGAAAAGTCTCACATAGTAATTAAATATTCCCCGGGGTCAAGTCTCAAAAGCTTCCCGTGGCCAAATAACTTTGTATCTCCCAGCGGGTGTAGAGCTGAGCACTGGGGCTGAAGTAGCTGTGGGTATCAGAGTAGACCCGTCAGGACCACACTGTTCGGGCAACAGTAAAGAAACACTCAGTAAACATTGCTTTGCTCTCAACCATTCACTCAACTTTCACTGTGCTTTCCATTCTTTCTGCTGCTCTAAAAATAATGATGATGATAATGATAAATCATTTGGAATATCAACAAAACCCAGGAACTATAAATGATGTGTTATAGATAAATGTAGTACTTTGTAAAACTCTTGGAAGACACCGAACACCTAAATAAATGGGCTGATATGATGTATTAATGAATAGAATGTCTCAGTTACAGAAACATGCCAAATCTACACAAATCTATCTATTACTTCAATGCAACTTCTATCAAAATTCCGTTTGGGTAGGGGGGAGTAGATTGTGTCAAGGTGAGGGACAGACAGATATTTTGAAGGAGAAGATTAAAATGGCAAGGCTTGTCCTATTGTACATCAAAGATTATAACAGAGCAGTGTAACAAGCTAATGGAAGCCAAGAAATAAATGGACACAGTGCGGAGCTTTGACAGATGGCCAAACCGAAACATCAGACCCCGGGGAGGGGGCTGGGGAGGATGGGCAGGGCTGGCACAGAGGGTCTGTGGAGAAAGGGCTGAATGTTAATCATGGTCCTAGAGCCTCTGTTTAAGCGTATGAGAAACATAAAATAAAATTTGTCCTGACCTCATTACCTTCCCACAAGTCTACAGATAGAATGAAAGTTTAATATGAGAAGTCAACTTTAATACTTTATTTTTTTAGAATGAAGAGGAGTAAATTGGAGGGGGAGACGAACCATGAGAGACGATGGACTCTGAAAAACAAACTGAGGGTTCTAGAGGGGAGGGGGGCGGGGGGATGGGTTAGCCTGGTGATGGGTATTAAAGAGGGCACGTTCTGCGTGGAGCACTGGGTGTTATGCACAAACAATGAATTGTGGATCACTGCATCAAAAACTAATGATGCAAATGTATGGTGATTAACATAACAATAAAAAAATTAAAAAATAATACTTTAAAATAAAATTTGGGAGAATATTTTTATCACTTAAAGTAGAAAAAAAATCTTAAACAATTCAATAGAAATATAAACAATAAAGGAAAACACCATTAAATTCAGGTGTATTAATATTTCCGTTTACCAAATGGTACCATAAAGAAAGTACAAAGACAAACTACACATTAGGAGTCTGTATTTATAAATTATATAACTGAAAACAAATATTACTCAGAATATATAAAGAGCTCCTACAAATTAAAAAGAAAATGATTTTAAAAATCAGGTGAAGATATATATATATATATATATATATATACACACACATACACATATAATATATACTCACATACACATGGCACTTAGCCTCACTGATAAGCAGAGAAATGCAAATCTAAACAATATTGCATTATTTATACATACAACCAAAGAGCAACAAATGTGACCACTCAAAATTTTAGAAAAGATGTGCAACAATAGAAACCCATGCTTTATTGATAGGATACAACCTTGAAAAACAATTTGGCAGTCTCTCCTAGAGCTGAAGATGTGAATGCTCTACAACAGAAAATGTTTGTGCCTAATGAATAATTTGTGTCACATTAATACAAGATGAAAGTGATTTTCTTTTAAAGCTGCAGCTAGATGCGTTGACATGATTCTCAAGAATACGTTGAGTGAATGAGCAAGTTGTACAATAATACCTAAAATATAATTCAATTTATATGGAGTTAAATAGGCAAAACCAAACACTATGTTGTTTTTGACTGCATACCCACGTGCTTAACGGAGTAATGAACAAGATGTGCAGGTTAATGGTGATACACAATATGGGGGGAAAGGACTGGACTGAGGAAGAGCAGTTAGTGGACTTCAAAGTTATTAATCATGTTCTATTTCTTCACTGGGGTCATGGGTTCATGTGAATGAGAGGTAAAAAAGTACAAGCAGAAATAGACATAGAAGGGTAAACTACTCCCTAAAGAAAATAAAGAAAGGGAGAATAAAGGCATTGTGGTGGCCAGCCCCAAAAGCAACTGTGTATACAGGACGAGTATATCTTTTAAGGTGAATACATTTATAAGCAGAATGAGCAGAAGGCATAGAGAGGAAGAATTGAACATGTATAGAGAGGTAGGATGGCTGGAGAAGCAACATCTCTGGCCAAGATGATGTAAGCCCAGAGCTTCAGGGCACGTGGGGAGCAATGTGTCTTCGCTGGGAAGGTGCTCACAGGGAGACCAGAGTGGAAGAGGGAAGCATGAGAGAGATTGCAGACCAGCCCAACACTGGCTCACTGTCTGATTCTTAAAATTAGTTAATTCACCCTTTCACCCAATTATTTATTTATTTAACTGTGTATCCATTCCTCAAATGGGAGGGAGGGAGGAAGGAAGGAAGGGAGGGAGGAAGGAAGGATGGAAGGAAGGAAGGAAGGAAGGAATCCCTCTGGTTGTATTCCCCACTCATTATGTGGGGGGCTTGTTGAACCCCAGTTCTCTCCAAGGGCTAGCTTGTATGTGCTCATTGATATATCTTTCCTGTGGCAAGAAAGGCTGTCCTCAAACCCTTTCCTTTCCAGCCCCTTAGGGACACCTGCCGCTGGGACCACCGAAGCATATGACATACGTGGACGGGAGCCCCTCATTCCTGCCACGACTGCTAATGGCCCTGTGACCCCCTGGACCCCCCTGGGAAGTTCTGCAGAGGCATGCTGGGCCACTGCTGGCAGAATCTTCAATCATGCCCCTCAGAGCTGCTGTATGTCACTGAACTGCTGCTTCATTGTGAAGTGGAGAAAACGTTCTGTCTTCAAACCACATTTTGTTAGCTCGACTCTTCGTGTTCCTTATCCTTCCTCTGTCGCAGCAGATACTTTATATAGAAACAATTCTCTCAACCCTTGAACAGAAAAGAAAACCAGGTGTCTCTTTCCATCTGAGGTCTAGCCTGACTCAAAGACCTTCCTGAAGGTGGGGCCACCTCACAAAAGGCAAGCATGGCAGCAAGTTCTCCCCTAATTAACCACATGGGACATGGAGTTGCTTTCCCAGGGACTGGGGAGAACCTTCCTGAAGAAAGCCTTTCTCCCGTTGGATGATTCCCTGAGACACCCAGCGTTGTGGTTGCAGTTATAACAGTCCTGTTCGCTGGACTTCAGAACGATGGAGATGAAGACATTTGGCAAACAGAGGTGGCCCCGTAGGTCCTGAAAGAGGTGGCTACGGGACGAGGGGTGGGCTCTGTACTTTGGAGGGTGCAAGGGCGGCATCTTTGGCTATATATTGGGGAAGACTGCCACAGAACCCAAATATTTTTTCTGTTGGTTTTCAGTGAAGACCTGTGGAAACTTCACTGAGGTTTTACAGACACATGAGGTAGGGGGAAAGACCACAGCTCAGTGATGAGGGATTGGTGGATTTGTGTCCCAGGACTGACGGCCGTACCAAACATCTATGAAATTTTGTCTGTGCCACTAGCTCTATGACTCTTTTCACCTCCACTGATTTCTGGGTTAAATTCTGCTGTAGAATGCTTGCATTTTATTTAGTCAAGTCAAAAAATGCTCTTTTTTTTTTTATTAACAAGTCAGGAAATGACAGATGTTGGTAAGGATGCAGAGGAAGGGGAACCCTCCTACACTGTTGGTGGGAATGCAAGGTGGTGTATCCACTCTGGAAAACAGTATGGAGTTTCCTCAAAAAGTTGAAAATCAGAAAATGTTCTTAAGATAAAGCAATGCTGTGGCAACCCGTGGAGCTTTCTAGTTGAGATTCCAGGCTATCCATTCTTCCAGAAAATATATGAGTCCAGTTAGATATGATTTTAGGCCCAAGTAACTTCAAATTGCCTTCCTATGTGTATGTTCTTTCCTTCTGAAAGACTCAAGTTTCTCTTCTCTTTCAGAGTAGATTCTCTTGCCAGTTTTCTCCTTTTCTGAGTTTCCATCTCCTAATTCCAAAATGTACTGCCGCTGAGCATAGTGCTAATTTCCTTATTTATCTCCCATCTGCCTCTGAGAGAAGAAACGAGAACATTAGAAGAGTGTTAACTTCTGTCATTTGAGGAAATCATATAGGGGGTAATAGAACCAAGAGATATTGGGATGCCAAAATGATTAAAAAATCTCATATACATTCATATTATTGATCATGCTAAGAAGTTCAGGCTCTATTTGGAAGCCTGTGTGATCCACCTCCAGGTCTGTTTTCAGACACAGTATTGACAGCTTTGTATTTAAGAAAGATTATTCCAGAAGCTAGGTGGAGGGTAAATTGGGACAAATCAAGTTTGAAAACAGTGAGTCTAGGTAAGAGTAATTAAGGCAAGAAACCATCAGAGCATACATTATGTTTTCTTGTGAATCTCTGTTTTTTTAGGTAGAAGTTTTCTTAAAGAAAAACAAAGGGAAATTTTGTCTCTTACATTTCTCCTGTTTCAACACAGATGTAATATTCTAATGGATCTATAAAAAACGAGAACAAAAATAAATTAAAAATATTTGGTTGTCATATACCAAGCTGACTTTCTGTTTAAATCCTCTGGTATTCTGGTTTCAAAAGAATTTTATCTACTTTTTATATCTTTTGCCAGTTCACAATTGTCTGACTCCTTTTGGTAGATAGCAGTAGTTTTCTCCATTTACATATTTTAATTAAAAAAATTGAGATATAATTGGCATTTAACGTTGCATAAGTTTA